TGTGATTGTTCCATCTTTCACACACTCAGTGGGTGGAGAACTTCAGGATGCCTGAGGAAAACCTACGTGTAATACCTAAATATTCATTGTATTGTATTGAACATAAATACATCTTTTCTTTTTCACATACATGTGTTTGTCAAATTATTTAAACCAAAAAAATGTTATCAGAATTGACTATTTAGTAAATATTTGAATTTCAAGCACCAGTACTGCCCCCATAATAATAATCTAATAAATTAAGCAAATATCAAAGCAAACTATAAACATAAATACAAAAGTGTAAAACACAACAGAACTATATTCATAAATGCAAGTGTAAAAAATTGTTAACATGGATGGAGGCTAAAGTATCCACAGCATAAAATAATATGATTATGATGGTTTGTCTGAAAGACACAGCCTCAAGGTTCAAGGTTTTTTATTTTGTCATACGAACATAGCTAGTGTAGTTATGACAATGAACATCTTAGGTCACAGGCTCCTCCAACAGTGCAACACAATAACCCAGATCAACAGAAATATAGTGCAAGTAAATATTAAGCGCTGTGCACCGCTCTCTTTGTATAGGTGTTTTCTTTTGTTCTCTTCTCTTTGAAATATATAAGCAATGTGTTTGAGTCTAGCACAACGAGGGTATTACAATTGAGTAATTTTTCTACATGTATTTATCATGTATTCTTAATACCATTATGTAATGTTATGTTTTAGAGGAGGACCTCAAGCTAGCAAACTCAATTTCAAACAGTATGCAGAGTTGTCCTGCTAAAGAGTTAAAATGTATTATTTAACCAAGTATTTATTCTCTTATTTGCTTTAATTGCAACAGATGATAAAGGTTTCACTGTGATAAGTATTCTCTTAAATCCATAAACCCCTGTACAGTGCTTTGTGGACGATGGTGTTTATGATATTTCTGACTGCAGAGGGACGCCTAGATGATGCCATCTTTCTGTGCGATCGCTGGTGGGTGCAATTATTTATCAACAAGCAATAAGATAAGACATGGCATTGATTCTGCTGGGCCAGTTGCCGTTCCTGCAGGGCCAGATCGTCTCCTCCTCGGTTTGTGCTGTTGATGCAGAGGACGTTGTTCGGAACTGTTCCTCCTCGCTAGTCCCAATGTAATCATCTAGAACAGAAACATGACTTGTAAATTCCACAAACTACTGCAGCACAATACTATAAATAGCAACAACAACTATAGAAAAGACAAACTGAACGTAAACAATGGCACATATGGTGTTAGCAAACAATAGCTCTCGCTAATGCTATCTGCCTAGCTAGCCTTCGGGGCTCCATCGGGGTTGTCGAACATAAATGTAAGGATAAAATAGACTTATTTGTTAGAAGTGAGCTTTAAAACAGATAGGGACACAAAGCAGGGACACAAAGCAGGGACACAAAGCTTTCAAGCAAATAACACAGCGTTAGCAAAAACGTACCATGCAGACTCCAGTAACGCCGTTGGAGAGTCCAGTGTCTGTGTAGAGACCTCCTGAAAGACTTTGATATTGCGAGTTGTCCCGTCGAGCACCCGCTGGACCTTATCATCTGCAATATAATGGACGTCGTCACTTCCTCGACCGACCATGGTGTGCTTTTCTTTGCCATTGTTGTAGCTCCTCCGTTAACAAAAATGCTGTTTGTAAAAATGGATTATCTCGCGCGCAGATTGTGACGATTCTCTCCGACCAATCAGCAGCCGAGAGCGTTGACGTCACAAACACAGCCCGGTTGTCTTTGGCCCTGGCCCCACGATTTTATGAGGCCAGAAAAACTGAGAATTAGGACCAGCCGGCCGGTACTAGGCCAAGTGGAAACGCAACCACAAACGGGCCGCTGACGTCACAGCCCTCTTAAACCGGGCTGCGCGCTGTAGTGGAAACGCGCCATTAGTGATCTCTGATAGATTTGGTCATTATTCTGCCATCTTGTTTTTAGTATTCTTAAATGTGTGTGAGGTGGGAGGGGGAGGATTTGGGTAAGTTTGGGGTTCCCTCTACCTCTCCTCATGTAGGTAAACTCTGTTAGACACAATAGGTTAGTAGATTGTTGAACCCTGTAGTTGTTTTGTTTCCTTGTTAGTAGAACAGATAGTGAGGGCTTTTTGTTTGAGATTTGTTATATTCATTTATTTAATTTGGCAACCTCTCCTTTGTCTCCTCACTTAAAGAACATTTGTTGGCATTCTCTTTGATGTAAATAAATAAACTTGTGTTCACTTTCACCCTGACTCTCTAAATGTTATTGGTTGTTGTGTGCTACTGTCTCCATTTCCCCTACACTTATTAGGGATGTAACAAACACATTAATCTATAAAAAATGAAATAATCCAGTAATTCAATATATATTCTAAAATGGGACATCACGCGCAGTAAGTAGTAAGCAGTAAGTAGTAAGTAGTGGTTGATGCCAATAGGTCTCAGTTTATGCTGCTTTAGACTTCTACTGCAATACATTTTAGAAGACAGTATTGTACTTTTTAATCCACTGCAATCATTTCAAAGCTTTTAGTTACTAGTTAGATATAGACTAATAGTTCATTCAAAATATAAATTATTAAATACACCTTGACAGTTATTTATAGGATAAGATATCCAGCAGCAGGACATGAAGTTATTTAGTGGGAATGCTGATTCAGCATTCCAACTATATGTTATGCTACGGACAAAAAGCTTATTATTCCGTCCAGTTATTTTGTCCGTCTTCTCCTCCCTCATTCAACATTGCAGAAACTCCGTTCAAACATCAAAACGTTCAGCTCGGTCGGGAATCGCAGGCTATTACTTTTGTCATTCATAATTTACATAATTCCAGAGATACATCCCATAATACATCACATTTTTAACATTTGAACTTTAACATTGCGCAGCTCGTTAAGGCAGAGTGCGTGATGTCACAGCTAGAGGGTAGGAAATCTTGAAATTTCCCTTCATATTTTTTTTTAAAACTGCCATAATTCCCAAACCCTACATTCCTGAGACATAATATTTCATGACAAACGTAGGAAAACATCTCGTAGCTTGAAAAATGACAAACAATTAAGCAAAAATAATTAAACAAAATGCCTCTTGAGGGCATGAAGTGAAAAAAACTTTCAACATGTCTCCATTAAAGCCCATTGTAATTTCAGGCTGATATTTCCTCACAGCAGCAGCCGCACACCTTTCTTAAACTGCCAAAAAGGCCACATTATTAACCCGAAAGTACACAAATATTACACTTCAGATACTCAACTTCCTTGACATGCTTCACGTTTTGAAATTTCACAGATATCTGTTATCGTTCTTACACAAAACATTCACAAGAGGTTCATCTCTCATTCAGAACAATGAAGCCTTTGATCTATTCATAGCTCGCTAGCTCAACTATAAACACCTGTGTAATGGAACACGATGATGTCATCACTCCAACTGACAGCAGTCAGTTCTAACTGTTCATTTCATACTCACACACACACACTCTCTCTCTCTCTCTCTCTCACAAACTCTCTCTCTCTCTCTCTCTCTCTCTCTCTCTCTCTCTCTCTCTCTCTCTCTCTCTCTCTCTCTCTCTCTCTCTCTCTCTCTCTCTCTCTCTCTCTCTGCAATAAAACACGATATTGCTATAACTCCTATGAAAATTGTCAAAAAGTGCTAAAACTTCACATGTGTGCTCACAGTCCAGCCGTGAAGACATCTACGGGACAGTTTTGAGATTTCTTCAAATGCCATTGCCGTTGACATGGCGACAGACCACTCGCCATGAAACACGATGTCGCTGTAAGTCCAATGGACACGGTCCAATCGTCCCCCAATCTTCACTTGTATATCAACGGTCCATGCCTCAACAGCTCTACGCCAAATCTGAAATCTCACCATATGCCGTTTCCATGGAAACGCATCCCTCGCCATAAAACACGATGTCCCTTTAACTCCTATGAAAATGTTCAAAAAGTGCTCAAAATTCACATGTGTGCTAACAGTCCAGCCGTGAAGACATCTACGGGACATGCCGTTGCCATGGCAACACAATGCCCGCCATGAAACACGGTTTTCTCATAACTTCAGTGAAAATGCTCCAAATGGCCCAAAACTTCACAGGTTTTGTAAGGATGCAGCCATCAACGCATCTAAGCGTATTATGGGATGTCATCAAATGCCGTTGTCATGGCGACAGATCATTCGCCATCAAGTTAGTTCAAAAGTTTGCATTTCAAATATTCTGCTGCTTTTCCAAGACTTTTTACTTTCTTTTCTTCTCTCATCACACATTCAAGCCCCCAGTGTTCATGTATCATTTCAATCTAAATTCTTCACTTTCTTCTTACACATTACATTTCAGCATAAAGCATTCCCACTAGCAATTTCTTCAGGAATTGCATTCTCTAGTTCAAATTAGCTCTACTTTTACTAACTGCGATAACACACATCAATAATCATTATAGTAACCCAGTAACCCAATATTCTGAAAAGGGCCATTCTGCATAAGGAGTACTTTTACTTTTGGTACTTTAAGTATATTTTGATACCAATGCTTTTGTACTTTAACTTGCAACAGAGTATTTTTACCGTGTAGTATTTCTACTTTTACTTCAGTAGAATATCTGAGTACTTCTTACACCACTGCTACCATGAGTCTGGAGCCGTGTGCTACAAAAGCCTGAATTTAAAACAAATATTTTACAGCTGAAGACTGTTTTCAAATGTAGGGCAAGTTGTAAGCGAGGCTCTGCTTGTAAATGAGGAAACAGTTCAGAGTGTCTGCTCCTCCTCCTGGAATGAATCAGAGTTTGATAAGCCTTCCCTCTTCTTCCTGCTCAGACACAGCCAGCTCCACTCTGTATTTCCTGGCTCCTCCCCTTCAGATCCAGAGGAGGGGTGTAACCAACATGTGGCTAAAGTACAAGAGCTGACAGCCACATTCACTGCACACACACATGCTGTTCAGATCACAGCTCACATAGTTTCAGCTCTCAGGAAGTGAAACTCAGACACTCGCTGCCACTGAGAGGTGAAATGGCGCAGAAAGGAGTTCAGCTGGACCGGGAAACCTTCTCTTGTTCGTTGTGTCTGGATCTACTGAAGGATCCGGTGACGACTTCCTGTGGACACAGCTACTGCATGAACTGTATTAAAAGCCACTGGGATGGAGAGGATGAGAATCGAATCCACAGCTGCCCTCAGTGTAGGCAGAGCTTCACACCGAGGCCTGTCCTGGTGAAAAACACCATGCTAGCAGAGTTAGTGGAGGAGCTGAAGAAGACTGGACTCCAAGCTGCTGCTGCTGATCACTGCTATGCTGGAGCTGAAGATGTGGGATGTGATGTCTGCACTGGGAGAAAACGGAAAGCCTTGGAGTCCTGTCTGCAGTGTGTGGCCTCATACTGTGAGAAACACCTCCAGCCTCATTATGAATCTCCTGCCTTTAAGAAACACAAGCTGGTGGAGCCCTCCAAGAAGCTCCAGGAGAACATGTGCTCTCGTCACAACGAGGTGATGAAGATGTTCTGCCGTACTGATCAGCAGTGTATCTGTTATCTCTGCCCTATGGAAGACCATAAGGGCCACGAAACAGTGTCTGCTGCAGCAGAGAGGACTGAGAGGCAGAGAGAGCTGGAGGGGAGTCGACTAAACATCCAGCAGGGAATCCAGGACAGAGAGAAGGAGGTGAAGCTGCTTCAGCAGGAGGTGGAGGCCATCAATGGCTCTGCTGATAAAGCAGTGGATGAGAGTCAGAAGATGTTCACTGAGCTGATCCGTCTCATAGAGTGCTCTGTGAAGCACCAGGTCAGATCCCAGCAGAAGAGTGAAGTGAGTCGAGTCAAAGATCTTCAGGAGAAGCTGGAGCAGGAGATCAGGGAGCTGAACAGGAGAGACGCTGAGATGCAGAAGCTCTCTCACACAGAGGATAACAACCAGTTTCTGCTCAACTACCCCTCTCTGTTACCTCTCAGTGTTTCCAAACACTCATCCAGCATCAACATCCGTCCTCTGCGCTACTTTGATGACGTGACAGCGACTGTGTCAGAAATCAGAGATAAACTACAGGACGTCCTGAGAGAGGAATGGACAAACATCTCACTGATGGTGAGTGAAGTGGAAGATTTACTGTCACCACCAGAGCCAAAGACCAGAGCTGAATTATTAAAATATTCACGTGACATCACTCTGGATCCAAACACTGCAAACACAAAGCTGCTATTAACTGAGGAGGGCAGAAAAGCAACATTCACGAGTCAACGTCAGATATATTCAAGTCACCCAGACAGATTCACGAAATGGCCTCAGGTCCTGAGTAAAGAAAGTCTGACTGGACGTTGTTACTGGGAAGTGGAGTTGAGAGGGGGGGGAGTTTTTGTAGCAGTTGCATACAAGAACATCCTCAGAGCAGGGGGTTGGGAGGAATGTTTATTTGGAGTCAATGATCAATCTTGGATGTTACATTCTGACATTACCAATTATACCTTTTGGTACAACAACATCAAAACTCCCGTCTCAGGTCCTCGGTCCTCCAAAGTTGGAGTGTATCTGGATCACGATGCAGGTATTCTGTCTTTCTACAAGGTCTCTGAAACCATGACTCTCCTCCACAGAGTGCAGACCACTTTCACTCAGCCGCTCCATGCTGGACTTCGGTTTAATATTGTATTTCCTACAGCCACTGCTGAGTTCTGCAACCTCAAGTAGTCAGAAGTCATTTAAGTCCAGCTCAGTTGGCACGTAAAATGTTGGCATTCTACACTTCTGCAAACCATGGATACGTTGAGTTTCAACATTTTTGATTTCGGTAGTGCAATTATGTTCAGTCAATTAACTTGTGGGTAAAATAACTACTGAGGTAGGGTTACTGAAGTATGAAGAAGTATTGTGTTTGGTGTTCCTGCAAGAACGAAACTGCTGATTTTAGAACATATTTGTGGCTCAGAAACTTTAACTTCACTTTATCTGGAGCTTTTCTAAAACCTACAATATCAACATTTGTTCTGGGATTTTTAAGTGACAGCAGGTTGAATTCTGTTTAACTTTAGAACGTATTTAGACTCCATGTTTGTTGCTGACAGCTGAGAGTTGTGGCATTTCTTCCACTGTCAATCAAAACATTGAAACACCTTTTTAGATTTTCAAGTACCAGTTCCAGTGAAAGTTGTATGTGCATACAGTGCAACTATTATTACTTATTAAACAAAATGAGCAAAGTATTGTCTTCTTGTCTTCATTTCAGGCTGACATTGAAACGCCTCGATTGGACTGCTTTGTTTACTTATGTAACATAATGACATTTTTGAACATTAAAGCATGTAAACATGTCACAATAGAGGAGCAAAACACAAATATGAACCTGAAAATGATCATTATAGGGCCTCTTTAAGAAGAAAGCAGCCAACCTTCTGTATCCTGGGTACTTAGTTTTTTCTTTGTGTGCATTTTTAAAGAAATCTATATTCACATGTATGTGTTGTTATTGTGAGATATTATACAGCTGTAATTATCCTGATCATAATCAATAAGGAGATGATTCATTATGTTCTTTTACTCACTGGGGTTCTGCTCAAACAAAGTGATTGTGTGGATTTCATTATTGCATTTTTATAGACTTACTTATGGGATGTGTGAACAAACTTGACAGGATGAATAAGATAAGATAACATGGACTTATATTGATCCCCGTTGGGACATTCAGGTTTTAAAGCAGCAACAGATTAAGAGAAACACAGGATACATGAGGATATACACAAGGATAAGAAACACAACATGTATGAGTTAAACTCTGATCAGGTGGATGTGCAAATGATATGTGATCGAGAATAAATATATATACTTTTAGATTTGCAGGTACCAGTGCGAGTGAATGTTTTATGTGCATACAGTGCAACTATTATTGATTATTAAACCAAATGAACAAAGTATTGTCGTCTTGTCTTCATTTAGGGTATCCTTTGAGGCTGATTGAGAACATGTGAAGCTAATATGAGAGTTCAACTGAAGCACTTTCCCTCCTGAAACACCATCAAGTGCAGTGTTCATGCTAGGAGCTTTGTTTCTGTCCTGCTGGATATCTTACATATTTATATGTCAATATGTCTAATCCCAATGTGTATGACATAATAATCTGAATCTGTAAAGTGACTATAGCTTTTTGATAAATGTAATGAGTATAAAGAAGAATCTTGGCTTTCTTTGAGTTTCTAATGTTGATACTTCCAGCGTTTTGAATAAAGTTTTAATTAAAGTGCTCAAAAGCAGTTTAAACTGTATTTATTCTACTTTAAACTTTATTTCGTCTGTACAAGTAAAATACTACAGGGTAAAAATACTCTGTTGCAAGTTAAAGTACAAAAGCATTGTTATAAAAATATACTTAAAGGTAGGGTAGGTAATTTTGGAGAAACCAGCTCGAGATCGCGAGAATTTGAAAATACACAACCGGAGAAAATCTGCCACTTCCTTACAGAGCCCCTCCTCCAACACACACGAATGCGCACATGACCAATGAGGGCACCAGATAAGTTTGTGCACAGATGGAAGGCTGACAGGCAGGTAGGCCATCCAGTTATTTTAGCCGGGCCGGCTCAGATGATTGGTCGTGCTTTTTACAGTATTACGGCTTCCACAGATGATATTTTTTTATGGATTTTTTGTCAAAGCACTTCAGATATTCATTGCTATCGGGATGTTAAGAGCATTCCATGGAATATAACAACAAGTGTATCTCGAGCCGGTTTCTCAAACTTACCTACCCTCCCTTTAAAGTACCAAAAGTAAAAGTCCTCCTTATGCAGAATGGCCCTTTTCAGAATATTGGGTTACTGGGTTACTATAATGATTATTGATGTGTGTTATCGCAGTTAGTAAAAGTAGAGCTAATTTGAATAACTTCTTGTCCTGCTGCTGGATATCTTATCCTATAAATAACTGTCAAGGTGTATTTAATAATTGATTTATATTTTGAATGAACTATTAGTCTATATCTAACTAGTAACTAAAAGCTTTGAAATGAATGCAGTGGATTAAAAAGTACAATACTGTCTTCTAAAATGTATTGCAGTAGAAGTCTAAAGCAGCATAAACTGAGACCTATTGGCATCAACCACTACTTACTACTTACTACTTACTGCTTACTACTTATTGCGCATAATGTCCCATTTTAGAATCATATATTGAATTACTGGATTATTTCATTTTTTATAGATTAATGTGTTTGTTACATCCCTAATAAGTGTAGGGGAAATGGAGACAGTAGCACACAACAACCAATAACATTTAGAAAGTCAGGGTGAAAGTGAACACAAGTTTATTTATTTACATCAAAGAAAATGCCAACAAATGTTCTTTAAGTGAGGAGACAAAGGAGAGGTAGAGGGAACCCCCAACTTACCCAAATCCTCCCCCTCCCACCTCACACACATTTAAGAATACTAAAAACAAGATGGCAGAATAATGACCAAATCTATCAGAGATCACAAAGAGGCTCTGGAGTCAGCAGCAGGTCTGAGAGAGTGAAGGCTTCCTGGATTGCCTCCTTTAATGACAGGCCCTGGCTACCTGCTTATGTTCACATATGGAAATAAAACACTGATAGAAAAATATAATGTCTTTGATAATTCACTATAACTAAGTTCTAAATGTGTCATCTGTTAAGATTTTGAATGAAGACCAGAATTGAATAAATGAATACATTATTTCTGATAGCAGTATGTGAAATTAAATCTGTAGCTATATTGGAAACTCTACTTGTATCTTATCGGTTCATTAGTTACAAAAAACTCTTCTCTGGTTCTGGCAGAAACAGTTCTTTCTGAAATGTGTTGGGACACTTCGATGTATCCCTTTTAGTATGATAATTAGCTTGTTAGCATTAGCCAGACAGCATTGTGTGACTTGTTGAACTGGTTTACCTGCATGTGTGGGTGTAGGTATTCCTTTTATTATGATAATAGGCTAAGCCAGGTATTGTTGTGTGACTTAAGTGTTCATGCAAATAGGATTCAGATACTTGTTGCATCGGGATACCTGGAAGGGGCGGGGGGGGGGGGGGGGGGGGGGGGGGGGGTGTGCATGCATCCTTTTAGTATGATAATAGGCTAAGCCAGACAGAATGAACACTTGTCCCACCTCCCTATCTATTCCTTCAGGTAATCTATTACAATATAATACGCATATGTATTATTGATACATATTTATTAATTACTTTTTCCATTTCATGATGCCAGCAGCAAAGAGAGGTCCTGGATTCAGTGTGCAGGATGTGATGCCATCTTGAAAGGAAAAAGTGATGTTGAGATGGAATCAGAGGACAGTGACACTGCTATGAGTGAAGAAGAGGCAGATGAAGATGCCTGTGGACAAGTGGACAAAGTAAACCAACAACAATCCATCCCTCACATACTTATGTATATATAATAACTTGCTTCATATTTTGCTTTTGTTATTGTTACACCTGAACTTGAAACAACATCCATATCCAGGACCCTGAGGAGGGCAGGGAAGATAGTGGCCGACCCCTCCCACCCTGGACACAAACTGTTTGCCCCCTCCCCTCTGGCAGGAGGCTGCGCTCCATCGGGACCAGAACCTCTCGCCACCTAAACAGTTTCTTCCCCTCCGCTACCAGCCTCTTAAACAAGGCCCGGCCCCCCCGCTGATACTTTACCTCTACCACATCATAGACTATATGCATTACATTAATGCACACAATGCCATCCCAGCTAGCGGGGAACGTTCTCACAACTTTGGCTAACGTTACCTATTGGTTCTAATAAGGTTTTAAAGAAACGTTTTCATCTGATGTTCAAAGACATTTTTGGAAGAGAGAGACACACACAGTAGAAACAAACAAATACAAACACTAACAGGGGTTTCAGGGACGGGCAGTGACAGTCGGTCCGTTCCTCTATATATCTGTCGGTCTCAAATCTAAAGGGTGCAATAACGATTTTTATCCAATACGCATAAACAGCGGACACTGTTTATACGCAGCACTCACAAACCACACACGGCCAGATAGCTTATCTAACAGTTAGAACCTACATACGAGACACAACCTTTATAGTCAGAAAAAAGTGTGATTATTTTCGGAAATTTTACACATATGATATTATGAATACTGTGGGCCTACATACCTTAGTGTGATTATAAGTGCATGTGAGTGAATATTGGCATGCATAAATTTGTTTTTATACATCCTATTCATTGTCTCAATGCGCTCATACATCTTAAGAAAGTTATCACCAAAAATGTTAAGAATGTTTTTAGAGAACGTTATCCTACCTTTCAGAAGAACATTCTGGGAACCAAAATAAAACGTCCCGCTGAAAACGTTTTAAGAACAGTAGGCCATAATGTTCTAACAATGTTATCAAAAACATCTTAAGAAGGTTATCATGAACATCTTAAGAAGGTTATCAAAAACATCTTAAGAAGGTTATCAAAAACATCTTAAGAAGGTTATCAAAAACATCTTAAGAAGGTTATCAAAAACATCCTAAGAAGGTTATCAAAAACATCTTAAGAAGGTTATCAAAAACATCTTAAGAAGGTTATCAAAAACATCTTAAGAAGGTTATCAAAAACATCCTAAGAAGGTTATCAAAAACATCCTAAGAATGTTATCAAAAACATCTTAAGAAGGTTATCAAAAACATCTTAAGAAGGTTATCAAAAACATCTTAAGAAGGTTATCAAAAACATCTTAAGAAGGTTATCAAAAACATCTTAAGAAGGTTATCAAAAACATCTTAAGAATGTTATCAAAAACATCTTAAGAAGGTTATCAAAAACATCTTAAGAATGTTATCAAAAACATCTTAAGAATGTTATCAAAAACATCTTAAGAAGGTTATCAAAAACATCTTAAGAAGGTTATCAAAAACATCTTAAGAAGGTTATCAAAAACATCTTAAGAAGGTTATCACCAAACATTTCCAGAATGTTTTTAAAGAACGTTATCCTACCTTGCAGAAGAACATTCTGGGAACCAAAATAAAACGTCCTGCTGAAAACATTCCTAGAACAACGAATGGTAACAAACATTTCTAGCTGGGAACTCACACATGCCACCGCAAACATGCAATATCTGCTTACAGCTTATCATGAATTACGTGCTTGTTTGTTTTTTTCAAAAGGAAAATATGGTGACATCAGATTTTTAAAAAAACATTATTTTCAAACAAATGCAACAAGTTTGTTTTTTAAAGCGCTCTAGAAATAAATCTGACATTGACCATGACCGTGTTAATATTTGCC